GTTAGGAAGAAGATTAGCCTGCGGAAGGTCTCAACTTCGCATATTAGACCGAGGGCGATTTTTTTGAGCCAAAATTTTGGGAAATAAGTGCGTCCTATATCCCGTCAAATACGGTAATTGATTAACAAATTCCACTAATTGCCCATTTCTGTTCCCACCATGGTTAATAGTAAATGAGTAAAGAGTCTGAAAAGTTATGGATCTGTATCTTTGGAGATTTTCAATATTCTACAGCCCTGCTGTAGCTATAGTAAAAAAATATGCAGTCTGTACACTCTTTTAATGATGTTGACATTTCTTCCTTAACTGAGAGGATAAAAACTTTACACAATCTTATAAATGAGATTTTGTCAAAGTTTTTTTTGCAAGATTAAAAATATCTTCTTATTCAAACAATTTAAGATTTACATTAATGGCTCTGAGTATTTTATAGATATTTTCACCATCAGTAAATATGCAGGATTTAAGTTTTTCAATAGTTCATTTAAATGTTTTTTTTTCACAACACCAGTTCTTTTCTAGTACAAGTAGTAACTCATTTCCATAAACCAATAGCAAATTTCTTTAACATTGTGCTTAAGAATAGCTTTACAGGATGTCTAACACTGAGTTTGTAGTGAGTAAGAAAATATTTGTTGTTTTATTACAGGTATGATTGATTAACCTTTTTAGTGTTTTACTGGAGTGTAGTATGTTTTTAGGTTCTTATGTGCTCCAATTTTATTCTACTTCTGAGTTAAAATATATGTTTTTATTTTTTATGTTAGCAGATTTCTTGTAAGCACAATGAATCGACATCAAGTTTTAACTGGAGCTGTTAATGCAGGAGCTCACTGTTATGCAGTTGGATCTGTTGAAGGTGTTCCTTTTACTGTAAGTAAAGAAAAAAAGAGTGGTATATATAAAACATGTTTCCAATAATATAAATGGAAAAAAATAATTGAAATGGTGAGGTGAGTGAGGATATGAGATTTGTATTTCTGTTGATGTTCGTAAACTGAAAAAGGTGAATATTCTAGTTCTGTAAAAACAAAGGCGAAGTACAACATTAAAAGCTTAATCATGCAGAGTAATTTGGATATTAAAATTGTCATTATTGATGTTCAAAGTATTATAAAGTACTTAAGATATTAAACAAGTTATTCAAAACATTGATATGAAGCAGTTAAAAAAATATGTAGCATAGGAATGATCTAGTTAAGTGTAACACTATTGTACAATGTAAGATATTAGACTGTAATTCAGTCAAATTTCAACTTGAAGTACCAAGAAACATCTTGTAAGACCTTCTTTTTAACTTGTATATAAAAAAAATTAGGCTTTCAAATTTAATTTGCAGTCCATTTATAGTGCATACATTAAGGTATTTTCTATTACTAAAATAATGTTACTAGTATAACTTGTGTACATTTCTTATCAAAATTGTATATGTTTTGCATTACAATTGTGTTCTTGTGGGTGTAAGTTTTCTAACATGTTTCTATACTGTTTTATAAAACTTGAGAGAATTCAACAACTGTCATGCATGCTTGTATAAAGTATTATTATGTTATACAAGTTTTTCTTTCATTAGGCATATGCAGCAGGTTGTAATGTTGTGATTCTTGCCAGCAATTTTCAACGAACACAGATCATTCCTGGAGTCCATTATGGAAATGTCCAAGTTGGATGCTTGGATTGTTCTACTGATATTGGAAAAGTATGCATTTTTATATGTATAATATATATATGCTGCTATTTTAAGTTGGTTTTTCATATATTTCTAAAGTATTTGTTTATTTTTAGATTGGTAAAGGAATATGTTTAAATCAAAATATGCAAGCTTTTCTTATATTAAGTAGAAAAGTTTAGTAATTTTTAACATTTTACAAATTCGTTTTTGAGAACAGAAATAAGCTGTTGAGGCAATAATACTGTATGATGAATAGAAATATATTTTCACAAAAGTGTCCAGTGTTTCAATGACCACCAGTTGTCATTCATTTTAAAGAGCCCACCAGTAGCAACTTTCATAATTCTGCAGATATATAACTAAATACACTGGAATTCCATTTGTTTGCATGCTGAGTGGGACATAGGTCCACAGATAAATAAGGAGAACACACCAGTAAAAATACAGAAAACAGATATGTAAAGTAAAATATCTTTTATTGAAGATTTGTACAATAGATACAAAGACAGAAGAATGATTTGAAATGATTTTACTTTCATATTACTCAATTTCCTTAAATTTAAATAACACACACACACACACACACACACACACCTACAGAAATGTTTTTTAAAGAAAAGTGTTTCTCTATAACTGCTTTTTCTGTATTTATATATATACTGTCCAAGCTGGTGCTGTTTGACAAAGTTGTAAATACACCTTTTACTGTTTGTATGTGTGTGGTGCTCATGTGTATTAGTCTGAATTAGCAATACAACAGCAAAACTTGGTGGGTACGGTTGAAGCAGATAATTGAAGTCACAGATAAATGAGGTTCTACTGTTCAAAGTGAGACGTTCAAAATCTACAGTAGCTTATACATGTGGAGAAGAGGTGTTGGTGTCTGCTTAGGTCATTATTCAGTAATTGTTTTGAATTCTGTGAATTATAACAACCTTCATTGAAAAGGATTTAGAAAATATTGTAGTGATTTTGAAAATTTTAATTTTATCTTGTAGTTACTGTGATCATTGAGATAAAACTGTTTACCACTAATAAAGTTTAAAATTTTCTGCTTTTAGCAACCCTTTATGTTCATTATGTGTTTTTAACAAGTGATTTGTTTTTTGTGTGCATTGAATTTGATATAGAATACAAGAATTTTGTCTTTAGGTTGGACAACATATTGTTTTAAGGAACTGCATGTATCTTGCTGTCTTTATAAATTGTGGATATCCTCTAGTGGCTAGTTATTTTGTGTTTGTTGCCTCTACTTTCATGTTCATTGTTGACAGGCCCTTGGAAATGAAATTTGTTGGTCAGTGAAACTTTGACCAGTTTTTAATTTTTGTTGTTAATGTGTGTTTTTATTCATTATGCAGCTGTTTATAGAATTTTGTTTTAGCTAATAACATAGATTGGGGTCATAAAAAGAGTGTATTTTAGTTTATATGGCTTATTGCCATTTCAAGTAAACTGTTATTTGCATAATACTGTTAAAAGAGAAACTTCTAAATTATGTTTATTGTTGAATACATTTTTATAACTGTAATATCTGAAACTGATAAGAGCTATATGGTTCTCTTGACTAGTCTGGTGAAAAAAAAAGTTTTAGTTCAAGTTCTGGTTTAAAAAGGTATTGCAATGAAGTTATCTAAAGACTACCCTGTTAACGAAAGTCTAAACAACACAGTGGAATTTTAGATATTGCTTAATTTGTGAAGTCAAATATAAAATATGAACTTATTTTATTTGTGAATGTGATATACTTGTTTAAGAGACATGTTTTTTTTTACATTTCTGGTTAGCTATGAAGAAGCAGCCAGCAAATACAGAAGTTGTTTGTAAATTTCTTTCTAGTGTAAAACTACTTAAACATTCTATACTTTGAATACAATTTGTGTTGGAAACATTTTGTTCATTAGACTTGAGTAATTTCATGTTATTCTACATGTAGTATTTTATTTCATTTCCAAGGGATAAAAATAGGCCTTTTGCCCTTTTAGGCTATTCTATTTTTTGCTACTATCTTACTCCAGACCACATAAAGAACATAAAAAATCTGTTGTGTGCGTGCGTATGTGTGTGTATGTATGTATATATCATAGAATCTAGTGTATGTCTGTTATTCTGAATCACAGTAGTCTTCAAGTCATCCAGTTTTTTAAAATGAGTTAATGCTCTCTATGTTTGGAATTATAGTAATATTTTGAGTAAATCTCTGAAGATGTGTACTTCATGAGCTAGTATACTGTGTTGAAATTTTTGAAAATTATATACTATCTAGATACACGATAGTGTGTTGTGTGGCCAAAACAACATGCAGAAATGATAGTTTAGAAATTTTCCACTTTCTATAGTTTGGACTGTGGTAATCTAAACTATCAGATATTTTCAGTGGATGTGCTCTGCTGGACCCTTATATTAGATACCAAATTTCATGGCAATACATTAAGAAATACACGAGATATAAAATCTCCAATACAGTAAGAAATACATGGGATATAAACTCTCCAATTTTGATTGCATTTTTTTTCTTCACCCCGAAAGAAAGTATGAAACTTTATTTGAAAGAAAAACATACTTAACTTTCCTAGATTGTTTTTTCAAATTTGGTATACCGATAGATCTTTACAACCTACAATTAGGTGTCAAATTTGGTCTAAATGTACGCCACATATGCAAAGTTATTCAACAAAGACCACTCAGTTTTGACCAAAATTATTGCCCATACCTATGCAAAAAGTCACTTGAACTATTGGTTTGAAATTTTTACTACAACTTTACCTAAAAGTAAAAGTGGACCGTTTTTAGTTTTTTGTCATTCAGATTAAAGACAGCTGAATTAGAGCAGCAAAATTGTAGGGTGAAAGGATGTATAGATACATAAGTATTGGTTAGGCTAAGCAAACTAGTTAAGCAGTTTCTAGCTCAAGTTTTTAAAATAATTGTATGGGTGAATGCTTATTACTCATTATTCATTGCCAACTTTTAAGCACAAATTTGTTAAATTTTATGAAATTCTCCTAATTAAAGAGCATTTAGCATTATGTAATATTAGCTTAAGCAATTAGCATAAATAATGATGCTTGATATGGCTGTAGCAATTGCATATGGGTGGTGACAAGAAACTGTTAATTTAGTTTTCATGACATTACTTAAAAGGAAGTTATTGCCTTTGCGCCTGAGGGGGTGTATTACAATCAGGTTCGTGTATGTCTGTCTGGGTTTCTGTACATATTTCGAAAAGCAATAGTGATGTACACAAAACATTTACACAAGATGGAAAGTCAGTATGGGACAGTCGTTCCTAAATTTGATCTGGATTCTGGATCACATTGAAGCATTTTTTTAAATGGGGAGATAGGGCATTTTCCTTGTTTTAGGTTAATAACTGTGTGATCGGATTTGTACCAAATTTTATGGGCACTTTAAGGTTGAGACTCCTCATCACAATACAAAAAATGATCCGGATCATTGATCATTCTGGCTCTCGGAAGAATTTTTTGACTTTTCAAAGGTGAAATTTGATGTTATCCAACATAAAACCATGCAATTTCGAAAAGGAGTGGTGAGGAGAGGGTATGCAAAATCTCTGGTTGCTCTTGTTAACAATGTTTTTTAGAGAGGAAAAACTACCACCATATATTTTAAAGAATCTGTTTTTTTTCTGTAAAGTATAGGTCTGTTACAAATAATAGGGATGTGATCCTAAAGCTAATGTTTGTTACTATCAAGTGTCACTTTCGTACTTGCTGTGGTTTTTTGGTGTGTATTGACAAAAAAAAATCATGATATCTAATCAAAAACACCTGAAGTGTGAAAAAAAAAAGTCAGGCCAAAAAAGGATTGAGCATGCAACTTACAGGAATGAATTCAAAATGGGCGGCCAAACCCGGCAGCTACACTTATAGCACTGATAAGAATTTTACAGCTAACTAATGAATGAATATTTGCTGTAAAATTCTTATCAGTGCTACCAGTTTGGCCGCACCTTTTTTTCACACCTAAGGCATTTTTGATTAGATAATTAATAGTCAAGCTATTCAGTTTCAGCAATAGTACAAATGGTGAGAGTTTTAAGTTTTGACAATAAAAGACTGGTGCAACTTGAGTGTTCTAGAAAAAAAAAAGGAAAATACACTAACTGTTTTCTAAAACAGCAGGTATTTTTTATGATGAGATAATACGAAAATATAAATTACGTAATTGATGTAAATGAGCCACAATACTTTGTTGCATGACAGTTCAAATACTATTTCAAGTAATTTGACGTAAAATATTATGATTTTTACAATTTTACATAATTTATAGCTTTGATTGAATAACTTGTATATATTGAAAAAAATAAAAGCTGTTATATAATTTGTGACTTCACATTCCATGAATGTTGTACTGTCCTTTACTAACGCTATACAACTAACTATGATGGGCCATATACTATCAATTAAGTTCACATTTTCTGCACTTAGCTACATATATTCACCCATTCTTTATTTTACATTGACTTAGCTGAACTAAAAAACAACAACATATCCAAAACAAAAATAATTTAAGACATTTTTGACTAACAGTTTATCGTAGAAACTTACAAATCAAAAACTGAAACTTTTTAAGAATTTATATATGTTTTCCAGATTTTTATATAGATAACTTGCCAAATTTTGACCCTTGAGTGTCAGAAATTTTTGTTTTACACAGATTTATGTTCTACGTTTAATATTTAAACAGATTTTATCTGAAAAAGACACCATATGGATACTCAATTTAACATTCTCAAAGCCGTATAACTAACAATAATAAAACATCAGTTATTTGGAAAGGCAAAATCTGTGAATATTTCAAAAATACTGTTCTATTGTTTGTTTGTCTTCATGATATTGAGTATTTTGCTTCTAATTGTTGATTTTTTTTTAAGCTTTTCCAGATTTTTGGTTTACAATATGATGCACTTTTATACTGTAGATGAAATGTAAAATATTTTTAAAGGTTTGTGTTAATACTTTTTTCTACTATTTTTATGTGTGCTATGCAAAGCTTAAGAAATATTTATTTTGTCTTAGTTTTCCTTATTTATTTTACAGATTGCTGCAGCATATGGTAAACAGGTCTATATATTTGAGCCAACTCCATTGTTAAATGCAAATTCATCTCATGTAAGTCTATAAAGTTTAAAATGCTGGTAAATAATTGTAAGAAGTGGTTATTGTTTAAGACCAAGTAATTGTTTCTATAATACATGAAACAATTGATTTTGAATATTAGTAACTTTCTGTGAAGCTTTTCATGTTGTGGATACTTTTTTTAATCTTGTTACATTTATATGTTAAATTGATCATTAATCCTTTTTAGCATTAGGATTAGAATTGGAGACTAACTTTATTAAAGATAAAAAAATAAATGCAAATATTTAGTAAATGATTTCACAACAGGAAAAATCTCAAAGCTGTTAAAATTACTCTCCTAACTTGCTTTCAACATATTTCAAATTTAAAAATCCAACAACATATTTTTAACTTGTGCAGTAATACAAAATTTCTTAGCTAATGTAAGGAAATATATGTATACTGTATACTTAGATTTACTATGATGGAAGTTTAATGCAAGTTGAATATATCATCTAAACCTAAGTAAACTGTGTTCATTTACACCTTGCAAGTAGTTCTTAATCAATGACTTCAGTGATATGACTCCCATAAAAATGTAATTACTTTTGTAGGTTTTATGTTATGAAAGTGCTTACATGTTAGTCTTCCAAAGTTGTTGTTTTTATATAAAATCTATTGTACGATTAAGCTATTCATTCATTACATTTGATATAAACTGCATGTGATATTAGAATTGCATAAATCATAATCAAGGAGATTTCTAGATTGCTCTCTATAAATCATTGTTCTGTTTATGGTAATTCCACTGAGTTTTTGCTTTTTATATATTCTTCTTTTTCAGTTAATAGTCTACTAGTTGGAGCCATTGAATAATTATGGTTTTATCTACTATGGTACCAGTAGGTACAGAAAATATATTTATATTTTTCTTTTTAGCACTTAGATTACCACTGGGTTCAGACAGCAACCATTTCTGCTGAGTGTTATGTTACTGTGATGTCATGGAACTTGGAAGGTTTGTACATATACATAAACTTTAAAAGTTTGGCACAGGCTAGCATCTTAGCTTGACTTAGGATGTTTCAGTTTTATATTTTCTAAGCTGTGCTGTATTATTTTCCTAACAGTTTTGAATATATATTATTTATTAAGTGATCACATATTTTTTCTAACTTGAGAGACAAAAAATCATTTATCTTTTCATTGAAATAAAAACTTAGAAATAATATTATTAATTATAATTCTTTTTGTATTGCACTTTAATCATAATTTCAACACATTTTCTCTGAAAATGAGTTTTGAATATAAAAATGTGACATTTTTTGTTACATAGTTACACAAGAACATAAAGTCATTTAAAGGATATTTCATGTAATTTATTTTCATGTTTTAAACAAGTTGTATATCAGTTTATTTTTTATAAGATTTTCTTTTTACACTAAATCTTAATTTTGTTGTATTTTATGGTTTTTTTTGGGAAATTATTTTGCTAAATCTTTAAGTTAAATGTTGTTTTCCTTCAAAATTTTTTCTCAGTTGCCTGGAATGTTCAAATACATGAAGTATTCAATTAATGTTAAACAAATCTTTAAGGAACACGACTTTTGATTGGAGGAGAGATAATACAGCTATGGCATCTAGAAACTTGTACTAAGGAGGACACAATTGAGGAAGAAGGAACTAATTTTCAGTTAGGGCAAGAGGAATACATGTTCAAGACTGATACAGAAGAATGTTCCAAATGGGAATGTGTATGGAAATGTAGGTGAGTGTGTAACTTTGAGATACTGCTATTTTTGATAAAACTTTCTCTTTGTATCAGTCCACTTGTATTAGATTTGTAACTTGTGAAATGATAACATGACTTTACTGTTATGAACATTTTTGGTAGTAACATGATGATGTGCTTAGAAACACTGCTTTCTTTCAGCAAAAGAAAGATTCAAATCAATAATAGGAGATCGGTTATTTAATAAGATAAAGTACTTCAATTTAGTTTAACAAGAGGATTAGGCTAATGTGCATAGTTTAATGATCATACAATAGTTGTTTCTTAAAAGGAGGGAATTTGAGTGGTTTATATATATTTATAGTACTGCTTAATATGTGATCACAAACAAGTCTGACACCAATGCTTTATAACATATAAGACATTGATTATCAGATTTAAAGGCTGAAAAGTGGTTGAAAATAGTCTGTGGTTTGAACAGCTAGACTTTCATCTGAACATAGGTTGTGGTATAAGATTTACAAGAAAAATGCTATTTTACATGTGACCTATGTCCATTCATGTCCAAATGCTGGAACATAACCTGATTCACTGACAGGAAAGACAGCTTTCTATTCCTGGATGTCATATGCTCTCCTCCCTCCAAGGAACTTGGTTAATTACCAATTAATTGATGACAAGGGCCCTGTCAAAGCTAACAAGAAGCAAAATTAAGACTTATTTACTTGAATGAATGACTTTCCATGTCCAAATTGAACTGAAAGAAAATACAGAAAGTTAAAAAATTAACATATTAACCCTCTAGCCCAAGGTACCCTTTACTGTGCATGACGCAAGGTTATAGTGTCTTACATTCAACATTTTATTAAACTACTTTTTGTTTATATTACACCAATTAGAATAGCATAAAATCTTAGCTAATAATCCATATTTTAAAAGTATACAAGTTTTCAGTTCATAATTCTACAAGGCAATATTTAAAGAAATCTTGATTTTCCACTAGTGTGACCCACGTCACACATTTTGTCTTAGCATGTTATTATCTCTATTTTATCCATCACCCCTGGAAAATGTATGAAATTCAATGTAAAATAATCTCTATAAAATCATTATTGCTCAAACAAACCATAATTTTTATAGCCTTCAATTTTGTTTGGTTACAGAGCTATTCAATAGAAAATCAGACCTCTCCTGCCACACCCACCTGTCACATCCTCTGTTTCACAATTCGTTGGTAATTCTCTCTTACATTTCATTATATATATCACCTATAACCAATAGAAAGTCAAGGATTTCATCTATCAAATGATGTATTGTATAACATTGTATTCTGAACAGAATATCATCAGTTTCTCTAACAATACAAGATTCGATCCTGTGGGAAAGTTAATGAATAGCTTGGATTAATTTGTAATGGCTCTTGTTGCATAGTTAGAAAGCCAGAACAATTTTGAGAGGTAAGTGAATTTGTCTACTTTTTACATGTTATTAGTCTATACTCTTTGGTACATTATTTAATTAAATAAAAATTATTAAGTGCATTACTATCTATAGTATAAAAAATTGGGGTTAACTCTCTTTGAAACCTGACAGCAAGAAAAAATTAGGTAAGTACTTTATTTCTTGTTTTTCATAATTATTCTTTATTTATTATTGAAAAAGTAACTAATCTCAAATATGGATCTTTTTAAAGTTATTTTAAACTAGATTAGTTAGAATAAGTACTAATAACAATACAATTAAAATGGTTCACGAGGCATGCACGCAAGCAGTTCGTGGGTAATGTAATTTGATAGTGTAACATGAGCTGCACATTCCCTGAGTGATTTACAACTTATAATGGTGCAGATACTAGTTAAAATGGGCAATAAAACAATAAAATTTAATTATAAATAGATGTATAATGTTACGAACTTAGAGCTACTTAGGATAAATGAATGTAGTTTCATGTTACAATTTGAAGTCATTCTAGAAGGAAAAAAATGGGTAATTTAGATTTATTTAGATTTTTTTTTATGGTTATGAGGTTGGTTGAGTTGACTACTCCCATTTTGAGATAGGTAGAGAAAATAATAGATAAAGTATAAAGTTTTACGGAAAAAACGTTTGAAATGCATTTGGGGTTTTAGGGATTACACAAAGGAAATTTGAGATTTTTTGAGATGACGAAAAGTATTTAATTTTAACATGAAAATTACTTTGCACACAGACTATTCAAAACGAATACTCAATATATTCATAGACAAATTTTTATTTTATTAAAAATACTTCACTAAGAAATATGACTTTTTGTATGTGAAAGATTGCCAAATTTTGTGAAGATATACACAATATATTGAGAGTTATAAGTATTATCTTTATATGAACTTTAAACGAATACAAAAGGTCACATGACTCGGTCAAATTGACCGACCTTGTTTTGAGAGAGTTAATATGAAAAAATTTAAATACTAAATGAGAGGTAACCAGATATCTTACCAGGGTCCACATGAATTATGAAGATCCTGGAAAGTCATGGAATTTTGTAAGAAAATTTTTCAGTACTGAAAATTCTAATAATCAGAAAATTAAAAAAGTCCTCAAAGTTCCAATCACTCTAACATCCCATATTCTTATTAACATCAAGTCACACCATTGTGTTTATATGTTTCATAAAAAAACGATCTCTAAAAAATAAAGATTCATAAAGTGGGAAATATGTTGATTTTGCAACACCAATCAATAGTAAACAGGTGTCACATGACAATTTTTGTAATATGTTAGTGTAAAATAAGCTCAACACTAGTTTGGGTGAAATCTAAAATCACAAAATTGTTGATAAATAAAACATGGGCTTTTCAGAATTCCATCTTAAGCATAAATGGTTGAAAAATAATTCATAATGAACAATGTTTCTAGCCTATGTTTTAATCACCATTGTCTAAAACTCATGAATAGAGAGAGAGAGAGAGAGAGAGAAATGCAAGTCTACAGAGTAGCAATATAAAAATGTGAATGTTATAAATCTAACCATCAATAGTCATATATTTGCTATAAAAGACAGCCTGTCATATCTAATTAAGTCACCTGTTATTTATACAGTGATTGATCTAGGCTACGATATTTTAAAGTACAATTAGATTGTAAGTACAGTATTGTGATGTATGTTATTATTTTATCTCTTTGATCTTAGCTTTTCATTTCAGTTCTAAAATGAATAAATTTCTTATAACTGGTTCACAATTTTACTTGGAGTCATCGCACCTTGTGATGACTGATACAAATAAAAAGAAATAAAATTACTCAGAACAGTTATTATTTAAAATACCATTTAAATGATATGTGTTATTGTGCAAGAAAACTTACAGGTTGAACACCACAGTATCTGGGAGAAAAACATAAGGATGTTATCAGTTATTACTGAACTATTGGGAAAAGTCAAAGGGATTGTAAATTATGAATAATTTGTTAGTGCTTTGTTTGGTTTCTTGATCTTATTTGTTGCTTAAGTAGTTATTTTTTTGATAGTTCAGGTGTTACTGTTATTGCTAGAATATTTTGTATAGCTATTACTACACTTTTATAAAAATAATGAAACATTAGTTATGGTTGAGTTTGTGTTCTGTTATAATTGGTAAATTAGGTCTTTGAAAATTACAGTTTAGTCTTGCAAAGTCTTGGGATATTTTTTTCTATTAGCTTATGCAACTCATTACTTATGTAGAGACTTTTCAATTAGTTTGGCATGTTTAACTCTTTCCATGTGGGCTTGGTTGAATCTACAGAGTTTGTATCCATTTTATACTAATTACATTTTCCATACTATAACTTTTAATACTGTACATGTGTTTTCACAAGATATGACAGACTTTCAGTATATATTACAAGACTTTTGTACACAAAAAAATGAGATTTTGAATTATGTATTTTTAATAAAGATTTGTCAGTGAATATATCAAGTAGTTTTGTTTACTAGTCCGAGTGCAAAGTAATTTCAAATTTCATTTGTGTAATCTCTAAGACCTCGTAAATAATTATAAAATGTTAGTTTTCAGTAAAACTGAATTTTATCCGTTGTTTTCTCTACCCTAACTCTATATATGAGGTTGGTCAATTTGACTGGCCTTGTAACCACCAAAAAGAAATTTGAAATAAATCTAAATTACCCATTTTTCTTTCTAGAATGACTTCAAATTATAACATAAAGCTATGTTTATCTTAAATATCTTTAAACTCGTAACAGTATAAATCTGTTTATACTTAAATGTTAGTGTTTTATTGCCCTTTGAACTGTGTCTAAATTAACACGTTCACTGCTGCATAATAAATTAAGTATAAAATAAATAACCATTCAAGAGGTGACAAGGAGCAGTCAGAGTGTCCCAAACTCCTATCCCACAAGAAAAATTTGCCTTTGAAACATAGTTATCTGTGACCCACCAGTGGGGCACATGACAGCAAACATGTTAATATTCCCATCATAAAATTTGTAAGTCAATTGGCGATAATGGAATTTGTGTTACCCTATTGAATTGCATAATGCACGGGTTACTCGCGAGTGTACCTTGTGAACATTTTTTTACATTTTAGTTACTTTTATAATAATGATTAAAGAATACACATGAAAAACAAGAAATAAAGTACTTATATAGGTCTATCTTTTTTTTTCCTTTGCTGTTTACTGTTGATGACACTTAACCAACATTTTAATATTAATGGTATTACTGCACTAAATAATTTTTTATTTAATTAAATAATGCATCAAAGGACACAGAATAATAACATGCAAAAACAGACAAAGCATATCTGTCACAAGTTTTTTGACTTTCCAACTAAGTGATAAGAGTTGTTAAAAATACAGATAAGATCATCGCTGTGTTTCCCATGAGAAAATTTGAACTGAGAGTGAAATAAACACTTCTCTGTATAGAAAACAACATAATATAATATGTCACTTGATAGATTAAAAGGTTGGCTTTCTATTGTTTAGATATAATGTAGTATTAAATGTCAGAACTATTGGCAATTTCTGAAAGAGAGGATGTGACAGGTGGGTG